TAGAGATTTTGGCTTGCTGTTTCTATGGGAAGACATAAGGAAAGAGTACAAATTATATCAGTGCTAAATAGTGCCTCCTGGGATGCCCAAATTTAAATGCATGGGAAGAACTGAACAGCAAAAAGAAAGTGAGGTAGAAGTTATAGAAGATACTCGTCAGGGCTGACGTTTAATACAGAGGATGGCAAGATCTATGGCACATCATGCAGATTGGAAGATTAATAAATGACCCAGTACAGGAATCTGATAATCAGAATATTCTGCCTTTGAACTATGCATCTTTCCTTAAGAAAAAGGCAATACGAAGGAAATCAATCCCTGATGGAGTGGCTCATAAGAGCCCTCAGGGACACTAGGTTATCACTGGATGAGGTCCCCATGAATATCAGCAGAAAGGCAAGTATTAGTGAAGTAACTCAGCACACATAAGGCAGTGTGTGGTGTCCAGTTCATTGGTCCAGATGAGACTGTGTTCACAGGAGAGCTGAGGAAGTGACTGACAAAGCAGGGATCTCAGGACTAGAATGGAGTTTAATGGCTTTGTTGAGCCCAATGGAAGGACAAGAACTTTCCAGTGATTTAGACTGACATGTAAATTGGCTGTGTGAAGCGCTAAAGCATTCAAGAGGGGATAAGAAGACAAAAACAGACCAAAGGGCTTGTATAGAACACTCATAAGCAAATGTGGTAAGATGAGCATCAAGCCAGAGTTTCTTAAAGCAAAAAGTAACAGGAAGCTAAATTCAATCTTGGGAGCCTCTGGGAAGCTTTTGAGCCTGTGTAAGTTTTATGAAGGTATAAATGATAGAGCTGTGCAGGCGAACAAGACTAAGCTAGTCTCAGGGTGGGCAGTTAAGGCCCTAGAGTAAGTGGGATTCATTTCTCTCCTGTAACAAAGTCTATTAGAACCTAGGTATGGTTAATGCAGAGGCATCAGCCAGCTAGTTAGGGCCTAGAGACTGCAAGACCCAAGAAGCCTGTGAGGAAACAGCAGGTGAGAGCAGTTTTGGCTTTGGGCCAGTCAGAAAACCAACCCTGGCCTACTAAGCCTGTCGAAGGTGGGAAGATGCATAAGAGCCTTGTGGCAGCACCCCAGGAAGAGAGGGTAGGATGACTCATGAAAATGACTAGATGTGGAGGGCTGACTAAGGTAATGTCTCCCATTCATGAGGGCACACCCAGGATTGATAATTTACTAATTTATTTAATTTTATATGTATCAGTGTTTTCCCTGCAGGCATGGAAGAGCACCCATGCCATGCAATGCCCACAAAGGCCAGAAGAGGGTGTCAGATCCCCTGGAACTGGAGTTATGGATACATGTCATGTGTGTACTAGAACCAAACCCAGGTCCTCTGTAAGAGCAGCCAGTGCTCTTAACTGCTAAGCCATCTCTCCAGCTCCCAGGCTTGATATTTTTAGGAAACAATGGATAGACATGATGGAACTGTTTCCTGCTATATCAACCTTGCTAACAATTTTCTTTAGTATCCCCTTAGGTGCTCCCTCCTGAGATCAATTGGAAATTCCTTGGAGTGGTATGTGGTGGGCCTTCAGGGATCCTGCCTGTCCTTTGCAGGGTTTCATGCTCTAGATGATATTGCTAACCATTGAGTGTTTTATGGATCCAGAATAGCATGAAAGAGATGCAAATATACCCCAAAGAGCAAGGATGCAAGATTATAGTTCATGTAGTGTACAAAGGTCATGCACACCTATGAAAATCTTGGAAGGTCCTTGAAGCCACAAAGTTGCTAAATGCAAATCCCAATGCCAAGGGTAGGCTAGTTCCTTTTGAGCTGATGGCCAGGGAGGCCTCTGAGACCACTGAAAACAATACTGGCAATTGCCACTGCTATTTGTTGCCCAACAGAGCAATGTTTGAAGACTCCACTGCTAAAGTTACCACATGCTTTGGTTATAGGACATAGAAATCAAGCTGGAATCTTCCTCCCTGCTGGCTAGTTTACATAGTACTGAAAGGTGCTATGCAGGCTGATGGGGAGGAAAAGTCACCAACATTCCTACTCATTTGTGGACCCTGCTTGTAACATCACCAGCATGCCAGGCAAGATGTGCCTGCTGGTGCAATATTAGTGTGACCTGTATGGGAGCAACCAACGGATTTCAGGACCACTCTACCAGAAGGAATTCAAGTCTTGTATTATAAGCCATCAAAAACCCATGGCTTCAGAGGTCATAGGCCTTAGAAGGAAAGCATTAGCTATTGTTTTGCTAAATGGGTATGATGTGCCTGCTAAATTGTCTTCTAATCATTTGTGTTTATACCCACAGATTATTGTTGCTATCAACCTTAATCAGGGAAGCTGCTTTTTGCAGTGGGTGGCAATTACTGCCAAGACACATAAATGGTCAAAATGCTGAGACTAGGTGACTATTGAATGCTTAGCTCTAAATGAGCAATCTGTATCATTCCCTTCAAGATTCTGAGAATACTGTAGAAGGGGTAGAAAGAATGTAAGATCCAGAGGGATGGGGGAAGTGCTGTGGGTTGCTGCCCTCCAGATACGACATGATCATTGCTTTATTGAACTTTCAGCAGATGTAACTCCTGTAGGACTGCTGCACAAGACTGGGTCTGTTAACAGTCAGTCTTAGATTGGAGGCTGTTGAGGGAGTAACATTCATGAGGTCACACCCCTATCTGAGGATATATAGGCAGTTAACAGTTGCTGGGAGAAGAGGGGGAGATTTTCTTCATTGTAGTCACTCATAAGTAGCTGCTTACCTGTGTTCCTGGGAGTAAGCCCTCACTCATGCTCCTATAAGAAATTCTAATTAAACTCACTGGTTCACTAATCAAGTCATAACTGAAATCATTTGTTTGATTTGTTGATGACTTATCTGGGATGAACAGACATTTGTTCATCTACCTAGGAAAAATTCATGCAACAAATGCCTATCATAGCATACACCATGCTGTACTGAAATTACAGGGCTGTAAATTGGTATCATTAAGATTAAGCTTTCTCTGTGAGAACTGACTACATTTAGTTTTGTATCCCCACATAGTAGTTGCTCAACAGCTGTGTTTAATTTAAATTAATGCAGGACAGGGGGAGCATCTTCATGATGGGGTTTTTTGTAACAGCTCTGTGATGAGGAAATATTTTCATTTCCAAAATTAAAGGCCTAAAGTGAAAGAGATGTCATAAAATGTTACATTATATTGCTCACCTAATGCTATCAATATATTTCCCTCATCTGATCATGTTCTCAACCCTTATAGCCAGCTACTAATGAAGTATAAACAAGCATCAATAAAAGATGAAAATACTGCCGGGCATGGTGGTACATGCTTTTAATCCCAGCACCTGGAGGACAGAGGCAGGTTGATCTCTGTGAGTTCAAGGCCAGTCTCGTCTACATAGCAAGTTCCAGGCCAGCTGAGGCTACAGCAAGGAGACTCTGACTCAAAAAGACCAAAAAAAGAAAGAAAGAAAGAAAGAAAGAAAGAAAGAAAGAAAGAAAGAAAGAAAGAAAGAAAGAAAAAGAAAGAGGAAAAAGAAAGATACTGTTTCACTATAAAATTTTCACAAGTACAATGCATTTTACATAGTTTTAATTATCAAATTAGTGAAAAAGTATTCCTGCAAATTAGTAAGAAAACAAAACTAAGAGAAATCTAAATAACATAGGTAAAATACATATATTTTGAAATCCTTAAGAAGCATGTCTATACTTTTATAAAAATTGGATTATGAAATGATTTTATTTGCACTGTTTAAGTAAGACAATTGGTTTTACTCTCTCAAACAGTTCTAACACTCCAGTACACATTTTGGTACTGGAAAATGAGATGCTATTGTGTTCAATGTAGAAGTGCCTTTGAAATTAGATAGTGAGTTGAATCTGAATTTTGAAAGGCACATCAAACAAAGCCTAGAATGCCTTGAAGATAGTGTTCGTAGAAATCTGAACTTTAAAGGAGATTTTGGTGAGGGCTCAGAACAAGAAGAGACCTGCAGAGAAGTTCTTGTCTTAAATAATACATTGTCATGAACAGAATGTGACTAAAAATAGGAATTAGGAAGCTTCTGATAGTTTCAGACAGAAATAATGTGTTAATGGGAAGATGTTCATTCTTATACAGTCTCAGAGGGCTAAGTCAAATTATATTCTTTTTGCATGGAAAGTTGAATTTATAAGTGAAAAACCTGGATATTTTGTTAAGCATATTTCTAATCAAATCTCATCACATGTCTGGTTTCTCCTTGCTATTTGTAGAAAAATGTAAGAGGATTGATGATATCTGTTGAATGGATAATTGTTACACAACACGGAGCCAAAATGTGAAGATTTGGAGAACTGCCAGTTTTGCTCTGAATAGATCACCAAAAATGTGTTTTGGGAAATAATGAACTCAAAATTTAGCTTATTATCAAGAAGAATGGGGCAGGGAAATAACTCCACTGGTAAAGTTCCTGCCCTTAAGAATAAGGACTTGATTTTGAGCCCCAGTATTGACATAAAGAAGTCAAGCATAGCCCGGTGAGTTAGTAATCCCATGCTGAGGAGGTAAGGACAAGCGGATCCCTATGGCTGGCTGTCTACTAGCCTAGCCCATTCCAAGAGCTCCAGGCCAGTGACAGATCCTGAGATCCTGACCCAATAAACAAGGGAGACAGCTCCTGAAGAGCAACACCTGAGGCTGTTCTCTAGCTTCCACATGCACACAAGAGCACATGAACCCACCCCAAAATGCACTTACACACACAAACACACACGAACAAACACACACACACACACACACACACACACACACACACGATTGAAATTATGTCATTTGAAGGAAAATGCTTGGACCTGGATATCAAAATGCTTGGTAAAATAATCAAGATAAAGAAGGAGAAATCTTACATTTTCTCTTATGCGCAGATTGTGTCTGTGTGTCTAGAGAGGAAAGCAGAAGGAGGGCCACTTGAGGAATGGGAGAATGGAGGAATGGAAGGGAATGCATGGGAGTGGAGAGGTGTGAAGAAGAGAGGGTAATGGAGGAAGAAAGATAAATATCACATTTTTATTGTGCATCTAGATTTATATACATATACATCCATACACACACACATATGTGACATGAGAGCAGAAAGGGACGGGACTATTTGACGAACAGGGAGATCAGTGAAGAGGAAAAAAGACACTAGTTTGAGGATGAGTATGAGCAAACTATAGTTCTATACATGTACAAAGATATCATAATGAAGTTCATTAATTGCACACAATAAAAATTTAATTCAGAGCTGGTGAATGGCTCAGCAGATAAGGATACATGCCACCATGCCCGACGACATAAATTCAATCCACACAAGCCACAGGGTGGAAGGAGAACTTTGGAAAAAGGTGTCTTTTGACCTTCACACATGCACCATGGCCTGTGGACAGGCATGCAATCAGACAGACGGACAGACAGACACACCCTAAATAAATACATACATATATAAATATGTAAACGTGGTATTTATTTTTTCAAAAGATTAAGTTTGTGACCAAGGATAGAATCATCCATGCAAACAGAAGGGCTGCCAGGCTAGACCACCAGAAGAATTATAGATAGCATGGAATGAAGAGAGGCTGTCAGGCTTCTGGGATTCTACAAGTAGAAAATGAACTGCCAGAGATAAAGGACTTTGTGCAAAGGACTCTAGTAGTATAAGAAATAACCGAAGGAATTGATAAATGGGAGTACATGAAATTAAAACAGTTCTGTACTTAAAAGAACTATCAGTAGAGAAAAGACAGCTGAGAGCCTATAGAGGAGAAAATTTTAACATGCAGAATAAATAAAGAATTTCAAAAATTAGTCAACAAAACCAAAAATTACCAATCAATAAATAGGCTAAGAAACTGAAGAATGAGCGTTCACAAGGAAGGAACACAAATGGCCAATAAATATTCCAAGAAGTGTTCAGCATCCTTAGCCATCCGGGAAATGCAAATTAAAACTAGTTTGAGATTCCATCTCACCCTACTCAGAATAGCTATTATTAAAACAAACGACAACAAATGCTGATGAGGATGTGTTGGTGGGGGAGGAACCCTTATTAACTTAATAAACTGCTGGTGGGTGTATAAACTGGTGCAGCTACTATAGAAATCAGGAAGGAGATTATTTAAAAACTAAAATAGAACTACTATATTACCCAGCTGTACCACTCTGGGCATACACCCAAAGGACTCCATATTCTGCCAAAGATATTTTTACATATTCATGTTTATTGTTTCACTGTTCACAATAGCTTGGCCATGGATCCAGGCTAGATGTCCGTCAAATGTGTATGTGTATGATTGTGTGTGTGGGTATGATTATGTGTTTTACAGGCCATGGAACTATAAGGAGGTTAATAAGAGAAAAAAAGACCTTAAGGGAGTAGGCAAAGCAAAGGAGGAGGTAGCAGAACACATGTGACATGAAAGAAGAAGAGGGGTTATGGGGGTACCACCAGGAGAGGATTACACAAGAGTAGAGGAAGGGAGGAGAAAAGGAAGGCAAAGAAGAACAAAGTATGAAGGTAAATGCCATAAGGAAATCCATTACTGTGCATGCTAATTTGAAAGCCAATAAAATAAATAGTTAGATTCATGAGAAAAGGAAGAAAAAGCAAGAATAACCCTGATGTGGAGAGTCATGCTCTTGGTCCCAGAGTGTGAATGAAGCTACCTTAGTGGGCCTGAAAGACACAGTATTAAGCCAGAAGATAATTCTGAAGACCTGAATTTTCTATGCTAAATTTTGGAAAGGCTTGTGACTCATTACTCCTTTTTTCCTTCTAATTTCTTTCTTTTAGAAGGAGACTATCTTTCTTAGTCCTATCCCACCATAATATTTTGTATATATAAGATGCCCATTTTCACAAGTTTATAGGTGGCAAATTTTTCCTCAGGATGAGCAAATCACCTGAAGTTTCTTGATGCTAAGATTTTACACTGGGGGCTGAAGAGATGGTTGTTAAGAGCGCTGCTTGGTCTTGCAGAGGACCCAGGTTCAGTTCCCAGCACCCACATGGCAGCTAACAACAATCCCACTCCAGTTCCAGGGGATCCAACACCCTCTTCTGACCTCTGCAGGCATTGCAAGACACAGTTGTACTTACATGTGTCCAGGTAATACACTCATACACTTTTTTTGAATTAAAGATTGTAGGGGCTGAAGAGATGGCTCAGCAGGCAAGAACACTGACTGTTCTTGCAGAAGACCCAGGTTCAAATCCCAGCACCCACATGGCAGCTAACAACTGTCTGTAACTCCAGTTCCGGGGGATCCGACAGCTTCTCCTGTCCTCCTTGGGCATTGCACAGCACAAGTGCACTTACCTAATAAATAAAATATTTTAAAAATTAAAGATTGTAGACTAGAGTGAAGAAGGCATAGGTTCAGACATTTGAGGATATTGTGATCAAGTGTATATTTTCCATGTAAAGGACATGGCTTTAGAGAGAGGAGGTGGCAGGCAGACTGGAATTATGAACTGTGATTCTTCCCTGTTCATATGATGAAGGGTCTGTCTCTGAGTACCTCAGAAGAAGATGTTATTCAGAAATAGAGTAATAACAAATTTGATAATTAAAGTGAGTTCATAGATTAACATGGTAGTTCATGTCTACAATCTCAGCATTCAGGGGCCGGAAGCAGGAGGATCACAAACCAGCCTGCCCTAGACAGTGAGATCTTGTCTAAAGAAAAGATGAATTTACACACTGGAGTAGGGTGGGTCCCTAATCCAGTATCAGTGGTGTCCTGGAGAATTCCATGGGACAATTAAGGTATACGTGTACTTAATACAAGCGACTTACGGATTAGCATATGGGCCCTGAAGAATTTTTCTCTTTGTGTATGGACTCTGGCTTGTTGATGCATGTTCATAACTCATCTGCCTTAAATCTTGAGGCCTTTTACTACCTCTTTCCTGAAAATGGATTTCTCCTCTAGCTGCTTGAGATGTTGAAGGCTGGTTATCACTCTAAAACCAACAATTAAACAAAGTATTTTAAAACAAATTCACAAAATTCACAAAAAATCACATTTCTTCTGAAAGAAGTTTTAGATTACTAATTTTTTCATACTTAAACAAAATGTTGCAATCATATTGCTTTGATAAAGACAATTTAATCTTATCTAGTATAACCTAAAGAAGGTAAAAGTCTTCTCATGCTAGTATAACTGAAAATTTAGATTAAATGTTTTTATATACATATATATAT